AAAAGGGGGGGTCGTGGCCTGGACCCCATTCGAAGGGGGGGGGTCGTACTCACACCGACATTTCGCCTATCCCCATGCTGTACCCTGTGCGGAGATGGCGGTGAGTGGTACTACCCTCCAGCCAAATTTTCGTGTAGTTTTGACCCGATAAAGTGCTGTTGGCCCCATTCTCCTAACGCATTTGAGGGCCCTCAAGAAGCCCTCAAAGAGGGCGAGTCGAAATTGTTCCGCATTCTCCTCTTCCCGCGGTCGGCGACATTTTTGGGATGTCCAACACAGGAAGAAAATGAAGTGGTAGATTCAACTTTTAAAGCTGATTGAACGGAGGCGCACTGGGGCAGCGCTTGAGGGGATGGACGTGCAGGCTGGACCACATCTCTTCCTTGACGTGACATACCCTGGTTATAATGCGGCGTAACAGAAGTTTTCAGTTCTCCAGTTGGGAAGTACAGCAATACTTTGACTACTTGGCACTAATTTCAGCTAATTACGTAGCGGAGCCAGTTCGGAATACGGGGTCCGGATTTTGATCGAAAATTTTTTCTACCGGGGTGGGGAGTTTGCTGAAAGTTGGGTTCCAGGTAATTCGACCTCCTGAACACGAATATCACATCCGCGCCTCTCGAAAACGCCTGGCGCCCGCGCCACAGGCGCCGGCGCCAAAGTACCCTAGATCACGAAATCCGCTGAAAACTTGTACCTAGGGGTAGTTTGACCTTCCTAATCACGAATATCACATTCCCTCGGCTTGAAACCGCTCCGCGTCCGCGCTACGGCCGCCGGCGCCAAAATGCCCCAAATCACTGGCGCCTATGGCGCGGGCGCCAGGCAGTTTCAGGCCAAGTGGATGTGATATTCGTGTTCAGGAGGTCGAATTACCCTTAGAACCGCAACTTTGCAGCGCATAAAAAAAAGGAAGAAAGAGAGAATGGGAAAAGACAAAAGGGAGGGTAAAAGTTGAGAGAAGAAAGAAGGAAAAAAAAAAATAGGTAGAAAAGAGAAGGGAAAAGTAAGGGACAAAAGGAGAAGAGAGAAGAAAAAAAAAGAATAAACTCCACCCCGTGGAAAAAAGTCTCCGTCATCAAAGATCGGGCCAGCTTTTCGCAAAAATCAACGCGTCCCCTACCACAATTGTGCAATCGTTATTTACCTCCTCCTTTTGTCGCACGCAACATGAAAGTATTTGGTCACTGCTAAACTGCCGCGTGTATCAGGGAACGCGCGGCGACCACGTGTTTTCTGCGGCGAGAAAAGGGAATAAATGCACATCCCCGGCGCTCCCAAAACTGCATAGGCAACCACAGCGGCGGTAGCTTTGTAATCTATAACATTTTATGTTGGCGCAGTTCGGCTTGGTGGGGCACTTTGCAAAGGATAGCAAAGCCTGTCATCATTCGGTTGGTTATTAGAGAGGTAAACGCTGACAGAAACATCCACTATGCGTTTATACTTCGCGACTCTGACAATTTAGAAAATATGAGCATTGCCCCACAGCCTAATAAGAAAGAGTTCGCAGTCCAAGCAGTAGCTACCGTAAAGGAGAGGGGGCGGGGGAGAATTTTGCACTTCGTCTGCTTCCCTCGTTCCGTTTTATGAGTCTCACTCTGGTGAAACCCGTGAACTCTTCTGAAACTGTCGAGCGAAGTCTGTCAGCTTCATAAGCTCATGAAGTAGCTCTGCAGCTGATTTGACACGACGATGGGAAGTAGAAAAAGTGCGAAATGTCCGCCGGCGCCACATTGCCCTGTGCGACTTCTCAAATCGCGTGAAGATCGTGGTGTAATTATGAGCACCCTTCTTACCGTATTAGTACTCGTGCCAGGACCACCGGCTGCAAATAGCAATTGTTTGCAGATTTCACGTTGAAACGTGCTTTTACATGCCGCTGACGTTAAATATTCGGTCAAATAGTAGCTTGTTAAAAACTGGTTGGATCCGAAGACCTCTGTCCATTTCTGTAATGAATAAATATGAAGCTGAAATAAATTTGAATAAAAAATGCAACTGCAAAGAAAAGAATTTCTGATCGAAACAGACTGACAGTGAGTTCTGACGGTGCCTGGAATATCAGTGTTCTTAGAAGACCTTTAATGTTCGCTACGTTGCCAACTGGAGCCAACGCGAAGAACATTTTGATCTGGAAACCGGATCCTCAGATTGAATGTAGAGGAGCGATGTCCTGGATTACGCAACCTTTTTGGAGAATGAGGGTTCGGTGGAAAGTTTGGCAAACATCGTGAGAGTGCCTTGTGAATGGCCGACATAGTAGAGTTGCGGTTGACCAGAGACGATCAGTGCTTGGCCAATCATCGCCGGCAGATCGTATTGGGCCATCTCGTCCCAACTGGAAACTGAAGTATTTCTCTGGTAACTAAGGCACCGGTCAGGAGATTCGAGTCGCGGCGTCGCGAGCGATGCGTCACAGGTGGCATTGCGTGCGCGACATTCCCACCATGGTTCAATTAATTAGCATGCAAATGCTATTGCGGGCCGAATCATTCAAGTATGTGCAGATGAATCGTAATATGTTGCTCTAGTGGGCGTCGCCATGCTGCCACGCCTGGCAGACGAGTTGTCCTGCCTGGCTGTTGGAAATTTGGGTGCCGCGCACAGGGTGCAGCATCATTATGTGACACACACACACACACATCGTACTTTCTCACGAGGAGGGAGGTCGTATTTGGTTGTAAGGAGAGGGAGGGGTTCGATCGTGCCTGCCTCCAAGAGAAATTTGCTGTATTGTGGGGAAATTTTTTCCGGTTGTTTACTTTTCGCGTGATTTTTTCCTGTTTCATGTGTTCTATATACCCTCCCCCGCTCGACAGAAAACCTTGGAGGGGGAGGGGTGAGACTGGGAAATGTGGGAAATTGGTAGTAGGCGCTGGGTAAGGGTCGTACGAACACCCTCTCTCGAAGCGGGAGGGGGTAGGGTCGTTCCTCTTCATTTCACGCGTCACGATGCTGTACCTGCATTACTGTGCGATGCGACTACACGACAAGCTGCGATTGTCCTGCGTCTCCCGAAGCATTCCAGGTAGAAAAAACACGCGACGAGTGCGTTTCTTTCACCCACCGCAGTTCGGATTTCCTGACCCATACCTCTGATGAACGACCCGGCCTTGAATAGTAGAGCTGAAAAGCTCACGTGAAATTCCAGAATTGCTTGAAGAGAGGGTCCAAAAGAACGTGTCTCCTGGAATATTTGTTCCCACGCATGTTTCCCATCCAAACATCAAAACCGGCATCAGCAAAGAAAAAACCTGAAAACGAGGAGTCACATTCTGTCACCTCTGGTTTCGGATGACCAACAGTTGTCGGCCTCGTCGGCCCACTTGCAACCCCCGGAAGTAATGCTCAGGCTATCCTGCCACGGCGATTTTTTCGACAGTGAATATGAAACAGGAGTAACACCTTTATTGCATGAGTGAACTTGTGCGCTGAGGCAGTTGGGGGGGGGGGCAGGGGGAGAGGAGTCGACGCGAGACTGGTGCACACTTCTTTCTGTTCGTCTGTGGCCCTCTCAACGAGACCTTGTTCGATGAGTTCGGTTGAAACAAACGAGCTAAGAATCGGCGCGAAACCACCAACCTTCTGTCAACCAGCGCAGCGTGTATGTGCGGAAACAGGGCAACTAAGCTTCTGATTTCTAATTTCCCTCCCCCCCCCCTCTTTTCCCCGGGAATATCAATGCATTCAAATGTTTCTTTCCTTATCTTTTCCTATTGGAGCAAAAAAAAACAAATCAACGAAAATTGAACAAGAACATAAATACATTCAGTCTGGTGAGAAAGGCAATAGTAAGCTACCTTTTACTGCGTGTTGCTGTTAGGGAAGAGTAGTGTGTATATCTCATTGTTGGGGAGAGCCGTGGTTGCGGACCTGCTAGCGTGCAAATGCGGCGCGTAAGAATTCAAGTTGGCGTCTGTCCCATCCAGATGGAGTAGATCTATAGCGGATTTCGTTCTTATCCTTTGGAACTCCGGATCCCAACGCCTTGAGTTTCTCTTTATCAGCAGCCAAAGGGGCGCTTTTGACCTTGGAGAGGACATTTATAGGACTCCTTGTGCAGAACCGGGGTGAGTCTTTTGCCTAAGCCTGAAGGGACACGAGCTCAAGAGTAGAGAACCAGTTTCGAAGTGAGGATTACATGGAATACATGGACTGATGTGATTAGATGGACGAAGTTGCCCACACCTACGCAAGAGTCCAGACACATTGGGGGCAACGTGTTCTCCCGGGAGTACACGCCGCCTTCGCTTGTTTTTTTGTGATCTTTTTCTTTTTTTACTGATAATTAGATACAAATAATAGTGTGAGTAAAAATGACCAGTTGAACAGCCCCCTCCCCTTCTCCTTCCCATCCTCCCGCGAGGTTACCTCAAGGGAGGTCGTGGGTGCTGGAGAAAAATGTCCTCTGGTCGGTAAATTGATATTTCAGAGTGGTCCTTAGGGCTTAGACAGAATACTGTGGTACTTCTATACAGAATACTTACTGATGCGGGATGCGTGGACCAAAGCCGAGCCGTGATCTCCCAAACTTCGTACCTGCACTTTGTTTAGGGCGGTTCAGTACCCAGCTGCTGCTACTGGATTCTAATCCATGCTGTAAAAACATAACAGGACGTGCAGTGCTCGACGTTGACCCTAAAACCTACACCGTTTAAAATGAATTATATGTTTAGGATGACGGGAGTATACAGTATCTCGAAAGTGCGCGTAAAGTAACGTGTTTGGGTCAATGAGTGAACACAGTATCCCCTTCGCACCTACGCCTTATAAATCCTTAGACTTGGGTAATTTTACCATTTACGATATGTTCAATTTGAGCTCACGGGGCCGACACATTTGACTTCACGCGCAATTTTCGAGGGTACTGTATCCAATCTGCCTTCCAAAACTGACGATCCCTTACAGTTCGATTATGAGTTACCGATATCGGGAGCAAGGACTCACCGGTCTTTCCATAAGGGATTCGATGCAATTCCAGAATATATCCGTCTCGAGTGACTGCGTAGTGAATCTCTACAGGATATCCCCAGTAACGAATTATCTCTGGCTAGAAGGCTTAAGTCACAATTTTCAACGACAAAGAACAACCGCGAAATAACCAAAAGTAATACTCACCACTGTCATTTCTATTTCTGGATCCTGACAATACACTAGTTGAAAGCAGTGTGAAAGAAACACTGTGGTCCAGAGCTGAGGAAACATGCCTAAGTGTAAAGGTAATAATTCCCTTCCTGGTACGACGAGGCTGCTTTTCCGAGAATCATTCCCCTATGTTGGAAAGGAGCTTAGGTAATTTTTTCCTCCCGCGCAACACAACCTGCTCTGCGCTCACTTTTTCCTTTCTCCCAAGCGCTGTTTGGCTTGGAGGGGGCATTTTGCACTTTAGCGAGCAGGTTTTGTCGCTTCATTTGCAGCTCTGTTGAGACCTGTGAGCTACGGCGAAGCTGCGCAATGGTGCGAGTCAGTTACCTTGGACACATTTCTTACGTCTTTGCAAGGGGGCCTGTACAAGCTAGCTGCCATTCGATGTGCCATTCAACGCCCACACCAAGCCAAACTGCGCCACTTCCAGAGTTGGATAGCAAACGAAGTAATTCGACATGTGAGAGAGAAACAGAAAGGAGAAGAGACAATGAAAAGAGCAGAAGGAAGGGAAATGAAGGGCACCAACAGGCTCGCCTCCCTTCTAAGCGGTAAAAGGCCTGATGGGCACATACGGTAGAAAGGAGGGGGGGCCCAGCGCCCTTCCCAAGTGCCTTCGAGTCGTGAAAATACCGAAACCTCCGCTCTGTGCAAACCATCTCATTTGGTTCTACCCATCTTGCCTTGGGATGTGCCATTAAAGGTGTGCTCCGCAAAAGCTCGATGGGCGGAGACTTACACCCCTCCTGTTTTCTTCGTGGCGGGAATTCTCCCCTACTTTACTGAAGGAAAGGTGCACCAATGAGGAAGGTACGATGGTTATGAATCTCCACTTATTTCTCCGCCCTTTCGGTAATCGCGGAATGTGACATTAAGTCAAGTCCCAAAGGGGGCTTGTATTCCTGATTCAACAAAACTAAAGTTGCAGGACAGAATCGGCTGAAGGGGGGAGGGGGGAGGGGAATAAAAATGTTTGGGTGATAGCAGTAGTGCACACAACCGGAATATAAATATGTAAAGAGTAATGAGATGCGAGTAATCTGAAAATAAACTAAACACCCAAACAGACAACAACAACGACAACAAGTTAAATATCCGATTTTTTATCTCCATCTTTCCAGGGACCAGCTGTTGTGTAAACCTTTCAGGAAACATTTCAGTCTGTTCCCCCCTACTTCAAAGGCAATTCCCGCGACCACAGTTCATAGGTAATACGGTTCAAAAATGGATTTGCCCGTGTGTTGTTGACTTATTGAAAGAGAAGGAAGCAGGAAAAAGCGTCTGGAATAAGGCCCTCTTTATTGCAATTGATCATGATCACCGGACGAGCGTAAGGTGGTCAAGATCAATTGTCAATTGCGAAAAGCGGCGATACACTGCTAACAGAGAGGCCAGAAAAAGAACGGGTGCAGAGGCGCAAATGGGCAGCCTGCAGCAACGACACTCACTGGAGGCTGGCATGCGCCTATCGGGCGCAAATGGGCCTAAAACCTAGGCGCGCTGCGTTTTGCTTGCTGTTTTCCAGCTTTTAAAAGTGGCATAGCCTCCGACGTTGCCTGCTTGACCATCGTGCACGGTTACGAGAACTAGCCTTGTTTATCGGCGGGAACGGTGCCTTCAGGGACCACGTAATTGATGCAGACGTGAATAATTGAAAAACTGCAGGGCTGAAGATAAAAATTCCGATCAATCCCTTCCTGAGTGCAACATGCATTCCACCTCCATTCAAAATTATAGAGGCGTTTGGATATGGCCTGATAACAACTTGCGGGGATCAGTGGATGTGATGAATGTTGTTCTTCCATACCCAACAAACAACAACTACAAGAATAACGGTTCGCCGTCCTGGAGAGTTGAAGGCGGCACTGTGTAACTCAGGAAGGTGAGTTGGGAGGGGGGGCATTGCCCTTTCCCTGATTCGGCACTATTCAACTATCAATACCCAAAAAGAATTCGAAAACAATTTTTTTCGGTGGAACATTGGCGCCAGTATCAAAAACTTTTTTCTTATCGTTTTTCATCAAAATCGATTAGATAAAATCTGCATAATAGGATTTTTGATGCCTTGATTACGAATATGCCATTCATTTGTCGACACCAGCGTCCATTTAGCGCTCTGCTAAGGCTGAGGCTGGCAGAAGGAGTGGTTCCCATCAGGCCCGGCTGAGCTTTAGTAGAGCACAGAAGATCATAGTGTACTCAATTAGTACCAGCGCCAGAAATGAATGACATGTTTATAATTAGGATATCAAATAAATTCCGTGTTACAAAGTTCAGCGGATTGGGTGGTCTAGGGTGTCTTGGCGCCGGCGCCTCTGGCGCTCTCAGGCCGCACAGATGTAAGGGTAATATCTGTTTTCG